AATTTGGGTGTGACTCGAATTCCTTGTTTGAAATTTTGAAGAATTCTAATTGTAGTGAATATTAAGAAGAATTCAAGTTTGGAATGCTATTGGAATCCTATATCAAGTTAAAGTTCTATTTTGGAGGTTCATTGAGAGTTGAAAATTGATATTAGGCTTGAAGAAGAGTTCGGAAGGAGAAAAACACTTTGGAAGTATGTTTTGGAATATTAACCCGAAACCTAGCGCCTGAGCGCTGCTATAGTACCTGATCGCGATTTTTTTCTCCTACTTCGTTTTGGACTCTTTTTTTGGTATCCTACTTCATCAACAACTCCATCAAAATGATTTGGACGACCTCTACATGTTCCCTATAAATACTAGGCTCTTCTATACAATTTTTGGTAACAATTACATGTGAGAAAATAGATTACTAGAATTTTAGGATCTATTGTAATTTTCTCTTTTCTCCATTATTCTTGATGCAATGAAATCTTTTAATTTCTCTACTATATTTTTGTCTTCTTTTATTCTTTTACTCGATCATATAACTTCAACATCTCAATCTGGTGATTGACGTCACAACAAGTGATATCAATCCTAACAAGTGGTGTTAATATAATTATTTCTATTGATATTCTCACGAGCGAATAGTTTATTCAAGGTTTGAATTTTCAAAATGTCAAATTTTGCTTAAATGCTAATTTTAAGTTTTATCACACAAGGGTTGCAATAGGTTTTGAATTGGTGTTATAGTCCTAAAAATAATTAACTAATGTACTGCAATAATTCGAAATGGTCATTGTTTTAGTGAAATTTGTTGCAGGGGTTCCAAACTTTTTTGAAAATGTGCAATGCGGTTTCAATCTTTTAAATCCCAGCAGTTATGTCCCAAAATTTTCAATAGATGTGCGGTATAATGATCTCTAGACAATTTCCGTTCAAAGGCATGTTTGTAGACCAAATATCACCATTTGACTTGCATTTAACCATTTTGATGAGATGCAACATAGTTTTTAACATTTAAATATTAAAAAAGTATAAAAAATAATCTTCTTCCAACGTAATGATGAAAGAATGTCAACTTACGAAAATGATCCTAAAGAACCTATGAATAAGATTGTTGCACAGTGGATAAAGGATTGAAAATCTGAAATTCGAACTTTCACTCTAAAAAAAGGCATTGGATAAGAAGAGTATATGGGGTGGACCACTCAAAAATTGAAATACTCTCTCCATCGAGAAGCAATTTTCGAGAAAGATAACACCTGAATCTTCATCTGTATTTTTTTGCACAAACAATTGGTTTCCATAATATAGAAAATCCCTCTTCTCTCCCTTTTTTGGAACAGTTAATCAAGGCAAAAAATACAATAAAATAGTAAATGAATAGACGTCGAGCTCAAAACTGAACTTCGTTGAATTCTATCTACAACTCAATAGTACTGTCTAAATGTTTTTATTTTTTTTAATAAAATAAAATAAAATCATATTTAATGATAGATGAAAAAAATAAATGAAGTTGAGTCACTCTACCCAACCAAACTTTGAAAGTCTATTGGTTTTTTAACATCAACTTGCAATATTCTTGTCAGATTGCATTGAGGATGAAATTTTTTTAAACAACATTTGTTTTTTTGCTGATGTGATTATATTTATTTAAATGTTAAATTGGGTCTTATCCTCCTACTAACATGGGAGATCCTTCTAGTCACCCCTTATTTACATTATTTGCAAATTCATATGGATCTTAATTGCGGTTTGCATTTTCATGTGAAATGTTTTCTACAATCACAAATGTATAACATATTTAGATCTTCATGGCACTTGCATTTTTATCTGAAATGGCATACAATCACAAAGGTAAAGAGGGGCGATGAAGACTTTTTTTCAAAGTATGTTGACGACTTGACATTCTCGTCAGACTAACGAGAATGTATGATCCATTTAAAACCTAATTGAAGATTTTGCACTTGAATAATCTTCGAATTCTTGTCAAATTAAATAAGGCTAACGAGAGTTTGCAATTTATTTAGACATTACAATCCTCCTCGTCAACTTTGCTACGCAAATTTTATTTTGGTAAATAAATATTGACTATTTTAAAAATCTACCCTTTTCAAAATTCAAACAAGCATATTCAATAATTAATGTCGCCACAAACAAAGGGCGAATAAAAATCGGCATTCATTTAATCCAATAAATTTCAGGTGCATCAATGATAACAAAGATCTGTGAAATCTTATTCCTATCCTTAGAATATGAAGTGGAAAGAACCACAATCAACCTCTTTGAGAAGGGCTAAGATATCTAAAAGTAGAGGTGTAATCGGTTTCAAATAAAATCGTTTAAACCGGTTTGAGAAAAACTCAAACTTAAACCTAACGATTTGGTCCGATTTTAAA